CATAGGGCCCCTGTGTCCTTGCCCAAACTCAAAAAAGCCTATGAAAAAGGTACCAGAGGCATCTCATGGGGCCCCCTACTGACCCCGGGGCCCTCGGGCAGTGCCTGAGTTTCCAAATGGTCAGTCCGCCCCTGCTCCAGTCCATAGATGTGGCATCTGCATTCGTTTTCTTTTCACTGCCAGCGACACACTTCCTGTCCTAAGGTGACAACACTCGCTGTTCTGTATACAGGAAGGTGAGCGTTGTCACCCTGTGGCAGGAAGTGTTACCTCTGGACAGGAAGTGTGTTAGGCTCTCCAAAACTGGATTTTTGGCAGGATCAACTGTTTTTTTTTAATGTCATAAAGGGAGAAATCAGTGTCGGGCGGGGGGGCGGACTAACCATTTGGAAGCTCAGGCACTGCCCGAGGGCCCGGGGTCAGTAGGGGGCCCCATGAGATGCCCCTGGTACCTTTTTCATAGGCTTTTTTGAGTTTGGGCAAGGACACAGGGGCCCCATGATCCCCTATTGCCCGGGGGCCCCATGAGTTGTCAGTCCGCCCCTGGTGTTGGGGCTTCAATACCCTTTATGTTTATAATCTGTATAGCACCAACCAGGGGTGGACTGACAACTCATGGGGCCCCCGGGCAATAGGGGATCATGGGGCCCCTGTGTCCTTGCCCAAACTCAAAAAAGCCTATGAAAAAGGTACCAGGGGCATCTCATGGGGCCCCCTACTGACCCCGGGCCCCAGTCCGCCCCTGCAGTGGGCGAGCGATCCGCACAGCCCGGCTCCGGGGTACATTTCTGGGATTGGTCGCATATCGGCGATCTCTCACAGGCCAGCAATAGATCTGCAGATAACCAGAGAGCAGTGTGGGGGCTCTTCCAGGTCCGGAGGAGGAGTGTGTGTCCAATGGGAGGACAGGAAGACACAGATCAGTAGATTTGGACTTGAAGTCGGATCGTTGTGGAATCTGTTACAATGTAACTCCTCGGACTGCCGAGACTTCGGATATTATTTGTACTTTGTATCACTCTGTCACAATCGCTGAGTGGGAGGAGCTCACGCAGAATCCTCTTCACGGGGGGGGGGAGGAGTCAGTACAAGGATTGGCCGGGGATTGCACAACCCCGATACTTCCTACAATTCAAAGTTCCAAAAATATTAAAAAAAAAAAACAACAAACGACAAGTTGATATCAGAGATGAGAGAGAAAAAAAAAAGCAAAAACGTCCGCCGGCACCCGCACTTTCCTCGCCGCTTCGCAAAGTTGAGGTGAATCGGCGTTGGCACAAAGAAAACGGGTCGCATCTTTTCTATTCTATTCCTTTATTTTCTATACTATTGTATTCTGTTCTATTCTTGTCTGTTCTATTCTATTCCTTTATTTTCTGTTCTACTCTGTTTTACTCTATTCTTTTCTATTCTATTGTTTTATTCTCTGCTATTCTATTCAAATTTCAGAAGACAGCTATATTCTATTTCATTTTTTTGCTATTCTATTCTGTTTTATTCTATTCTGTTTTATTCTCTTTTTTTCTCTTCTCTTTCTTAATTTTCTATCCTGTTCCTATATTTTCTATTCTACTCTGTTCTGTTTTACTCTATTCTTTTATTCTATTCTATTCTTTTCGTAAATTCAAAATTCAGAAGACCGCTATATTCTATTTTATTTTTCTATTCTATTCTTTTATTTTCTATACTACGCTGTTCTGTTTTATTCTAGTCTATTCTATTCTGTTCCTTCCTATTCTATTCTGTTTTATTCTATTTTTTTTCTATTCTATTTCTTAATTTTCTATTCTGTTCCTATATTTTCTATTCTACTCTGTTCTGTTTTACTCTATTCTTTTATTCTATTCTATTCTTTTCGTAAATTCAAATTTTAGAAGACTGCTATATTCTATTTTATTTTTGCATTCTATTCTTTTATTTTCTATACTACTCTGTTCTGTTTTATTCTAGTCTATTTTTTGCTATTTTATTCTTGTCTACTCTATTCTGTTCCTTTCTATTCTATTCTTTTATTTTCTACTCTATTCTTTAATAGTTTATTCTATTCTGCTTTACTCTATTCTATTCTTTTATTTTCTATACTATTCTGTTCTATTCTATTCTAGTCTATTTTTCTATTTTATTCTATTCTGTTCCTTTCCATTATTTTATTTTTCTACTCTATTCTTTAATAGTTTATTCTATTCTGCTTTACTGTATTATTTTATTTTCTATACTATTCTGTTCTGTTCTATTCTATTCTAATCTATTTTTTTTCTATTTTATTCTTGTCTATTCTATTCTGTTCTTTTCCATTACTTTATTTTCTACTCCATTCTTTAATAGTTTATTCTATTCTAATTTACTCTATTCTATTCTTTTTTGAGATTTGAAAAGGGGAAGACAACTAGATTCTAACACGAATATGCATAATCTTCCAAGGAAATGCTTCCCTTTTGAATTTGTTTTCAAATTTGATTTTCGGCCGAAACTTTGAAACGTCACTTCGGATTCGTTTAAACGTGTTACTGTTGTAATTCGGAGATTCGGACACACCGGACTCTCCGTATCAGGGGCACTGCCCGAGGGCCCGGGGTCAGTAGGGGGCCCCATGAGATGCCCCTGGTACCTTTCATAGGCTTTTTTGGGTGTGGTTTGAGTGTGGGCGAGAACACAGGGGCCCCATGATCCCCTATTGCCCGAGGGCCTGGAGTCAGTAGGGGGCCCCATGATCCCCTATTGCCCGAGGGCCTGGAGTCAGTAGGGGGCCCCATGATCCCCTATTGCCCGAGGGCCTGGAGTCAGTAGGGGGCCCCATGATCCCCTATTGCCCGAGGGCCTGGAGTCAGTAGGGGGCCCCATGATCCCCTATTGCCCGAGGGCCTGGAGTCAGTAGGGGGCCCCATGAGATGCCCCTTATACCTTTCATAGGCTTTTTTGGGTGTGCTTTGAGTGTGGGCGAGGACACAGGGGCCCCATGATCCCCTATTGCCCAGGGGCCCCATGAGTTGTTAGTCCGCCCCTGCTTCGAATGATGACAATTTGTACGAATTTTGATTGGGAAGGAAACGAGCCGCACGTGTCTGATCCGTATTCCATTTTACAGAGGAGCTCCGGGCAGATCCAAGGGGCTGTCCAGCAGTGGGATCCTTTCGGGGTGCAGATAACATGACATGACAAAGAGGGGGGGCCATAATGATGAGTCGGCGGGGGGGGAAGGGGGAGGGGCGGTCTCCAGTCCCGCTGGCCACATGTGTGAATCACAAGAACAACCCAACAGAATCGCCAATGTCTTGTCTGCTGGAACACTTCCTGCATTTGTCTGTCTGGAGTTCCCCTTTAAGTACTTCACATCACGCAGTGCGCCCGATCCAGTCTTCCCTCTTCCCTGACCTGTCATTTTTTACCCCCCCCCCCCCCCTCCCCAGTCTGCGTTTTATTATTCTGCTCAGATCTGAAATTTCAAAACCCCATGTGGACAAGATAGATTCCTGGCAGCGTTCTCCCGGCCCGAGGAAACCATTTCCATATCGCCCAGCACCCCTGTCTCTGCCATGAAGGCTTTGATGTGCTGCTGCTGCAAATCACACGCTGCAAAGGATTATGGGAGAGAGCGGAGGGGGGGGGGGCGGCTGGATTCAGCTAGCACGGCCAAACGCAGATATTGCTTCCTACATTCCTGCTGCCAAGTAATCAGCAGTGGAAAGTCACCTAATTTTAGCGCCTTCTATAGGAATGTCAGCAGAAAGCTGCGCAGGTCTCGTCCCCGCTCTATATCTGGATGCCGTGCGGTGCGATTCCTGTGCGGCGTGGCAGTGTCATATTTTACATGCAGTGCCTTTGACCTGGTCAGGGTTGCTTGCCTTCCCTGTTATAGCACAGGAGAAGCAGCACAGGCAGCCAATCACGTGCTCATGTGCTAACACAGAACATGCTGATAGGAGGAGAGAGCAAAGCGACAGAGAGAGAGAGGAGTCTGCTGCTGCTCCTTCTGTCCAATCGCAGGCTGGGGGAGGGACAAGACCTGCAAGTGTCACTGAACTGCAGCAGAGAATAGTCAGGTCTGCCACACAGGGCTGTGCTGTGTAATTCTCCAGACTGGATGGACAAACATAGAAATCCTTTCTCAAGTGAAGCAGATCCCGTATATATATAATGTGTATACTGAGCTGTGTGCGGAGCTGACTTTTCCTGGGGCGGTATTATTAGTTCACAGGTATGTGGGGGGGGGGGGGTAATAGGTAAAAGGGCGCCCCTGCAATACACTCCTGTGTAATCCAGCCCCCCCCCCCCCCCCATCCTATTTCAGACTGGCAGTCACAGGCGGGTTGTGTCAGAGGACAGGAGGATCTGGTGACAGGGCTGTGTGTGGAGGTGACAGACGTGATCTGCAGAGGTGACAAATCTCACATGTGAACAGCAAGCTTCAATATCCTCATCACCCCACATCCCTGCCACCCCCACATCCCTGCCACCCCACCCCTGCCACCCCGTCCCTGCCACCCCACATCCCTGCCACCCCGTCCCTGCCACCCCACCCCATCCCTGCCACCCCGTCCCTGCCACCCCACATCCCTGCCACCCCGTCCCTGCCACCCCACATCCCTGCCACCCCGTCCCTGCCACCCCACATCCCTGCCACCCCATCCCTGCCACCCCATCCCTGCCACCCCACATCCCTGCCACCCCACCCCTGCCACCCCGTCCCTGCCACCCCACATCCCTGCCACCCCATCCCTGCCACCCCGTCCCTGCCACCCCACCCCATCCCTGCCACCCCGTCCCTGCCACCCCACCCAATCCCTGCCACCCCGTCCCTGCCACCCCACCCAATCCCTGCCACCCCGTCCCTGCCACCCCACCCCATCCCTGCCACCCCGTCCCTGCCACCCCACATCCCTGCCCCCCCCGTCCCTGCCACCCCACATCCCTGCCACCCCGTCCCTGCCACCCCACATCCCTGCCACCCCGTCCCTGCCACCCCACCCCGTCCCTGCCACCCCGTCCCTGCCACCCACACATCCCCAGATCACAGGGGTCCCTGCCACCCCGTCACTGACACCCCACCCCTGACACCCCGCATCCCCAGATCACAGGGGTCACTGATACTTCACCTGGGGACCTGAGTGGTCTGTCTGTAATGTTAGATATCTAACACTCTCCTGTACTATGTCTGCAGTCTCTGACCCTCTCCTGTATCCTGTCTGCAGTCTCTGGTCATCTCCTGTACTATGTCTGCAGTCTCTGACCATCTCCTGTACTGTGTCTGCAGTCTCTGACCATCTCCTGTACTGTGTCTGCAGTCTCTGACCATCTCCTGTACTGTGTCTGCAGTCTCTGGTCATCTCCTGTACTATGTCTGCAATCTCTGACCATCTCCTGTACTGTGTCTGCAGTCTCTGACTATCTCCTGTACTGTGTCTGCAGTCTCTGGTCATCTCCTGTACTGTGTCTGCAATCTCTGACCATCTCCTGTACTATGTATGCAATCTCTGACCATCTCCTGTACTGTGTCTGCAATCTCTGACTATCCCCTGTACTATGTCTGCAGTCTCTGACCATCTCCTGTACTATGTCTGCAGTCTCTGGTCATCTCCTGTACTATGTCTGCAATCTCTGACCATCTCCTGTACTGTGTCTGCAATCTCTGACCATCTCCTGTACTATGTATGCAATCTCTGACCATCTCCTGTACTGTGTCTGCAATCTCTGACTATCCCCTGTACTATGTCTGCAGTCTCTGACCATCTCCTGTACTGTCTGCAGTCTCTGGTCATCTCCTGTACTATGTCTGCAATCTCTGACTATCTCCTGTACTGTGTCTGCAGTCTCTGGTCATCTCCTGTACTATGTCTGCAGTCTCTGACTATCTCCTGTACTGTGTCTGCAGTCTCTGGTCATCTCCTGTACTGTGTCTGCAATCTCTGACCATCTCCTGTACTGTGTCTGCAGTCTCTGGTCATCTCCTGTACTAATCAGTGCTGTCAGAATACAATGTCCTGGCGGGAAGGAGGGGGGATCTTCCATCCATCCATATTGGCTAAACAAAAGAAAAGTGCCCCGGTGTGGCCGACCCAAAGCCTACCACACACTATGAGGAAATCAGGTGACCGACTGTCCGGTTTCCCGGGAGGGTGCGTATCCCGATGTACCCGACAATGGTCCTGGTTGTATGAACTCTGGCGTCCTGCGTAGGCAAACGATCTTTATGAAGGATTTCTATGCCAGTTGCCTCCTTCTCCCGGATCCTTCTCTGCTTCTGATCCTGCGCCTTTTCTTTCTATTCGCCTTACAGAACACATCGAACGAAAATCGGACGTTGCGTTCGCGTACGATAAACATTTTTTTTTCGCCCCAACAATCAGAATCAGCACTAACCTAAGCAGCAGATAATCGACCGATTGTTCCTCGTGTGGAAATTCTATCATCACCTTTATCCTGATCTTTCATCCCAACCATTGACCACTCCCACCACAAGCCTGATTTCAGCTGGTTTGCAGGCATTCACTGCGGCCGATCCTACAATCCAGGAGCGAACTTGTTACAATGTATTTGGATAAAGTTTTTTGCTTTTTCTTTTCTTTTCTCCCTTTTCCCTTCTGTCCCACCAACCAAAATTTGCTGCCAACTGTCGCCAAAGCCGGCATGCGTGGAGGCGGCCAGTTTGGCACGGCAGGCGTGAAAGTGTGGCATTGGACTGGAGGGGGGATTGATATGGTGTGAGATTGGCCACACCCGGGAGGAGGATTCCACACCTCTGAGCCCTGGTCACACTGCAGAGGACAGGAGCCAGGAAAGTGTCACCTCGCCTTTCTGTTTTCTGTTTTCCCGGCAGAGAGGAGAAATATCTCTTCTAATCTGATGACATGTAAACTCGCACCACAAAGGAGGCGCCAACATCCCTCCCCCCCCCCCCCCCCCCCTGCTTCCCGATTGGGTTGCAGCCTGTGTGTGTTGTGGTTTTCGCACTCCAGCGACACCGGATGACACCGACAATTAGCGATTTTTATCGTTTGTCACATCACGTTGGCACCTGTCCCATTGAACCCTTTGACTGCCAATGAGCCTTTTAGCTGGCTCTGTAGGTGCGGACCCCGAAATCCGAAATCCCCCCCCCCCCCCCTTTTGGCTTGGCATGTTTGGTCTCTATTGACTCGAAGCAATCTCGTCTTTTACAACCGATGGGAATGATGTGGTGTTTGCGTGCGCTAAAATGAAAACGGAGATAATATTTTCTTAAGAGTTGAGAAGTCGCAGTGCAGGATGATATTGTAGCAAATTTCTGCTTTCAGGCAGACGGGAAGTTTACCACTCTCTGAACAGTGATCTGCAGCGGATTGCTTTTCAGATGACAGGCGCTCAGGACTCCTTCTGCTGCCTCTTGACATCTGTTTTTTTTTTTTACAATTGCCAAATGGCAGTTCTTTATTATTTATTTATTTCAGGTACTTATATAGCGCCATCAATTTACACAGCACTTTACATATATATTGTACATTCACATCAGTCCCTAACCCTCAAGGGGGGTACAATCTAAGGTCCCTGACCCTCAAGGGGGGTACAATCTAAGGTCCCTAACCCTCAAGGGGTGTACAATCTAAGGTCCCTAACCCTCAAGGGGAGTACAATCTAAGGTCCCTAACCCCCAAGGGGCGTACAATCTAAGCTCCCTAACCCTCAAAGGGGTGTACAATCTAAGGTCCCTAACCCTCAAGGGGCGTACAATCTAAGGTCCCTAACCCTCAAGGGGCGTACAATCTAAGGTCCCTAACCCTCAAGGGGTGTACAATCTAAGGTCCCTAACCCTCAAGGGGTGTACAATCTAAGGTCCCTAACCCTCAAGGGGCGTACAATCTAAGGTCCATAACCCTCAAGGGGCGTACAATCTAAGGTCCTTAACCCTCAAAGGCGTACAATCTAAGGTCCCTAACCCTCAAGGGGGGTACAATCTAAGGTCCCTAACCCTCAAGGGGGGTACAATCTAAGGTCCCTAACCCTCAAGGGGCGTACAATCTAAGGTCCCTAACCCTCAAGGGGGGTACAATCTAAGGTCCTAAACCCTCAAGGGGCGTACAATCTAAGGTCCCTAACCCTCAAGGGGGGTACAATCTAAGGTCCCTAACCCTCAAGGGGCGTACAATCTAAGGTCCTAAACCCTCAAGGGGCGTACAATCTAAGTTCCCTAACCCTGAAGGGGCGTACAATCTAAGGTCCCTAACCCTCAAGGGGTGTACAATCTAAGGTCCCTAACCCTCAAGGGGCGTACAGTCTAAGGTCCCTAACCCTCAAGGGGCGTACAATCTAAGGTACCTAACCCTCAAGGGGTGTACAATCTAAGGTACCTAACCCCCAAGGGGTGTACAATCTAAGGTCCCTAACCCTCAAGGGGCGTACAATCTAAGGTACCTAACCCCCAAGGGGTGTACAATCTAAGGTCCCTAACCCTCAAGGGGCGTACAATCTAAGGTCCCTAACCCTCAAGGGGCGTACAATCTAAGGTACCTAACCCTCAAGGGGCGTACAATCTAAGGCAGGACTGTGCATTTTTGGCCCTGACAGATTACAATAGGATTGCTCAAAAAATCCACACACACAATTTCGAGCCTCCTAGTAACTACTTTTCAATTGGCTCAAGCCTGAAAAATGCGTGAAAAAAAATTCTCCAAAATCACAAGCTCAAGTGTGACTCCTTGTGAAGAATGGAACTCCATTCCTTCCTTCCTTCCTTCCTTTTTTCACCAAAGTCCCCCAGTGGGGCTCCTACAAAAATTTCTAAAAAAAAAAAAATAAAATCCAAAATTGTAAAAAATAAAATAAAAACCCACTGACTCTAGTAGTGGAACTACCAGGGTTGCAAAGGTCGCTCGAAAAATCCACATGCACATTTTTGAGCCTCCTAGAAACTAGTTTACCATTGGCTCAAATGAAAATGCTCAAGCCTGAAAAATGCGTGAAAAAAATGCTCCAAAATCATGCGCTCAAGTGTGAATCATTGTGAAGGGTGGAGCTCCATTCCTTCCTTCCTTTCCCTCTCACCAAAGTCCCCCAGTGGGGCTCCTACAAAAAAATGTAAAAAAAAAAAAAATTAATTCCAAAACTGTAAAAAATAAAATAAAAACCCACTGACACTAGTAGTGGAACTACCAGGGTTGCAAAGGTCGCTCGAAAAATCCACGTGCACATTTTTGAGCCTCCTAGTAATTAGGTTTCCATTGGCGCAAACGAAAAAATGCTCAAGCCTGAAAAATGCGTGAAATAAAATGCTCCAAAATCACGCGCTCAATTGTGAATCCTTGTGAAGGGTGGAGCTCCATTCCAGAAATCACCGTCACATATAAATGATCGGCTTTTTTTTTTCTCTTGCTTAGTGCCAAAATTGGCTCTTGCCCCCCCACTTCCTTCCCAGAATCCTCCGGGCCCTTCCTGGGTCTCCCTAAGTTTTGATGGTTATCCTACCCAAGGAGGGAACATAAAAGACTAATTGCAGCCTTCCCATGATAAGAGTATCTATATCAATCCTTGGGAGCCGGGGAGGAGGAGGAGGAGTGGGAATACCAAGCATGCACCTCCGGAGGTCGGATCTGTATTTACTTTGAGGCTACTGAGTGCTCCTTTCTTCTCCATACCACACATTCTTCTATCCTGCAGCAGAGGCATGGAGGAATGAGGCCTCCTTATCTCCACATTCTACCACTGACATGAAAGACCTCATAGGGCGGCCCGGCCAGCTCTACGATAACGCTGATTCTGCCTGGCTCTCCATACGATTCACAGCCCCGGAATGAAACGCAGAGGGTACACCAGTGGCCCAAACCATGGATCACTGATTCCTCAATCTCTCCCGATACAATTTGTATTGTTATCTATGTGGGCCAGGGGTTCTCAACCTTAGCGAGAATTCTGACAAAACCTTCCATGCCCCAAAAGCAAACAAAAAGGCTCTAGATGGAACTGGATGTCACAGTGGGGGGGGGGGAGGGAGGAATGGAGGTTCTGGATGGGTGAGGGGACTTTGAAGCAGACTTGGTGGCCCTCTAGGGGATGGGGTTTCTGGAGGGAGCTGGGGTCTCTCCAGGAGGCTCAGAGTTTTGCAGGGACTCTGTGGTAGGCTGGAGACACTGTGGAGGCTAGGAGGCACAGAGGGGAGTTGGGAGGCACCATTCAACACTGTTGGAGGTTGGGGGGCTTTATGAAGGGCTGGAGGTTCTACAGCAGGCTGGGGGCACTGTGGAAAGCTGGGAGGCATTGGGAGGGTTGGGGAGATGGGGGAGCTGTGGGGGTTGAGAGCTCCTAGGGGGCCACTGTGGTGGGAAGGTTGAGGGGTAGTACAGAAAGGTATGGGAAGTTGAAAGCATTATGGGAGCTGGGAGTTACTGTGGTAGGTCAGGGCTGGCTGAAGGCAGAAGGCACTGTGGAGGTTGAGGGCTCCCAGGGGTCCTGGAGACACTGCGGGAGGTTTTGAGGCCCCCAGACAATAATGGGAGGATGTTGGCAACATTAGACATGAGAGTCACAGTGGAAGGTTAGGGGATCTGCAGTTGGCTGGAGGCCTGGCAGAAGGAAAGTACTGTGGGAGCTGAGGTCTCTCAGGGGTCCTAG